TATTAATCACACAGAATGGAGTGTATTGAAAATCAAAGAAAGCACAAAGTTTCCTGTGAGGGGTAGGGTTGGTGTAGGGCAATAGAATATACGGTCTGTACAGTAGAAAAACCATTAGGCCTATGGGATGTCCCCACTTTTCACAAAAACAAACCTGTGTGTGTGTGTGTGTGTGTGTGTGTTAGTGGGTGTTAATCCTACAATAATCTTGGCAACGGTGCTGCAGTTTTTCATTCCCAAATAAATACTAAGACCACCAGTATGAGACTGAACTGGTAAATCAAGGAGAGCTTAATTACAAAAAGTTGTTCACTCTCTTGTTCTATGTTCAATCCAGCGCCGTCTCCCATGGTCATCAACAAAAGAGGGACTGAGGGAGGATCATCATCATTATTATTATTGCTTGTGACACTCTAACGAGACGCTATCATCAATCTTCTAACAGCTTCTCAGCAGCACTCCAGTTTATAGCTTTCAAATATTGTCAGACACTGGATAAACAGTAACAAACCAGATAATAAAGGCAAAAGTCAATGCAAAACAGGTGTCTTACCTGGATAGAAATCCATTATTTCGTCCACTTGTTCATAATAATGAAATGGATCAATTTCATTCATAATAATGAAATTTGCAAATCCTAAAAATGAAAACATGCCCATTTAGGAACTAATGTTCAGATGCTACAAATGAAAACATGTAAATTTTAGGGTCCAGATTAGAGTAGCCTACAGAACTAAAAACTCACCGTAACTCCACACTAGCAAACTAGCTATATACTGTGTAGCAACAGCACGTTACAAAGCTAAGTACCGCAAGTTTACAACTTTCTCGCCATCCAGTGGTCAAAAGTATAAACTGCATTTAAATTTGCTGTCACTTTACCTTTCAGTGCAAAAAAAACAAAAAACACATAATAATAAAGAAAATATACAGATAAAAATACAAAAACAGAACACAACATGACCAACATGAAGTGAACGATATTTGCCTGTGGTTTTGGGCCTTGTGTGTTGAGTAGGCCTCTATAGGTTTATTGCTCCTGAAAGGCCAGTGATCATGCTTTCAGATCAATTTCTTTCCCTTACGAAATTTAACTATGGTTTTATTATAGTAAAAGTCTAGAAAACATGTTTTTTGTTGGCGTATTGATTACCATTTTTATAACCACTGTTTGTACTACAAATACCATGGTTAAACTATGGTTAGCATGGCAAAACCATGGTTCATTTGTGGTTACCATGGTTTCATTATAGTAACTATGTTTTTTTAGTTTTATTTGTAGTAAAACCACGGTTAATTTTCATATGGGTTGTGCAATAGTTTGAACAAAAGCATACATCTCTCTTTCGCTTTCAGAGAAACTGTCATGTGGCCTCATTATCTTATGGATGTATATAAGTGACATACCACAGACAGAAGATTGAGCCATGCAAAAGCCATAAAAGTTGTAAACACGGAAACAAGACCAGTGATTTATGACTGACTGACACCTGTTAAGAATATGTTCAGGCTATTTTTTCCTCAAAATGAACATGACAAATGACTTATCCTAAAAGAAGAAGAAGAGAGAGTAGAGAGATTTCAGTAGAAAAAAAAAATCATACCATCAAGATTTTAGTACGCTAAAGGTACAATGGTGTACCTTTTGAAATGGTACCGGCACCCAGTGGCAACTTTTGTCCTTTTTTATTTGAGACATTATTTATATGAAAATTAAGCATTCGACCTAAATTATTATTAGTGTAATTTGCAAAGATTCCTATTAGCTGTACTAACTTAGTAATGATGTATTATTGTAATTGTAAGGTATTATTTGTTAAAATGGCTTTAAAACACACAAAACTAGCTTTTAGGATGAGAGGATCCTAATGGAGGACCAGGAAATTGTGAGATGTTTTTCACTAACCACTGATAGTACACTTAAAAAAACTGTGACAATATGCTTGGACCGCAGAAGAATGTGCAAAGTCATTTTCTGTAAGCCTTTTTGATGGCAATATGCATGGAATGCAAGTGAAGTAATCAGAAAATCACTGTGGAATTATTCCCAAAATAGAGAAATAAAGTCACACAACCTGTTCTACACTTTAAAACTTTCATGTTTAAAAGCATATCTAATTCTTAGTAACAGACCTCAATTCATAGTTAATGGCATGATAGTCAATATTAAAGTTAAACCAGATGTCACAAAAATACCCACAAATAATTCTCCACATTAATGTATAATAATGATAGATAGATTTATAACTCTTTCTAATTGTGAATGAAGATACACAGAAGGCCCTTGTGTCTGTGAACTGTTAAAGAACTGTTTAGTTTAATCAAGTCAAACACTTTATCTTATTGGTATTTTAGTGTCTTTTAACAGATACTTTACTGAACATTGTGCTGTTTATGAATTATGAAGAAGAAATAATAGACTAAACAACCACAAGGATGAGAATTTTTATGCATGACGATAAAATATACACCACACAGATGTTCATTTTCAGACATTTTTATTCCCTACTTCATAGAAACATAGTGTTTTTGTAGTCAGGGGATTTGAAATTAAGAACATCTGAGGTCAGTTTATTAAAATGTTCAAAATTTTAATTAAAATAAAAGTATGATTTTGAGGTATTACTGTAGAATCATTCAAACGGTTCACATTCTCCTTTCTCCCATTTGCATCAGGTCCATGTTGACCTTTCCTGCGGAACACAAGAAAATCATTTAATTCTTAATTGCAAAGTAAACAATGAAATGTATTTATTAAATTTAAACTTTTTTAATGTTTATAGAAGCCTGTTGTTAATAGGTAAATGAACTTGCCCCAATTGTGTGAACTGACTAAAGCCATGAAATCATGTTAGTAATGAACTCACCCATTAGACCAGAGGGTAACTGGCTAAAGTAGCGATGCCACATTGGTTGCTCTTGTTCCTGGACATCAGGATGTAGCCCTGTTCACCCCATCCCAAACCCCAGCTAAAATCACAGCAGTTTTGAGTTTTTTTAGTTGTTTTGTCTCTGTTCAGTTCTGTACTATTTTTTATTATTATTATTATTCATTTTTGTTTCATCAACTTGTGCTTTTTTCTTAACCTGTTCTTGATGATCCAATAGTCCTCTCCACTTGAACTTCCATAACCAACAGCCAGAACGGCATGATCTAAGTCAGAGCTGCTGCATTCAGGCTCACTGTATATACCTAGAAACATGATTTATTAAATTAGCCAGCAAATTTCTATTTAAAAGCTGAATAAATAATGAATAAAAATGTCACATTTAAAACCAAGTGATGACACTAACCTGATTCATAGAGCTGAAAGCTGATGTGTCCAGCATCGATGGCAACAGATACAGGGCCGATTATGGCAACAGCCTCCTGTAGTGCACTTTCATCCCCACTGGCAACATCAACATATCCTGTGCAGGTGGCACCCACAGTGCTCGGGTTAAAACGGCACAGATCATCCTGAGAGGAGAATATTGTTGATTAAAACTGTTTTTAAAAATCAGCTGAATTATTTATTATTCAAACATTATTATGACTCACAATGGCCTCATACGAGTAGGACTCCTCTGTATCCAGACCCCCATTGGCTTCAATGTACAGGAAGGTCTGGTCCATTAGTCCTCCATTACAGCCCATATTCCCAAAAGAACCAGAGCAGTCCACCAGCTGCTGCTCACTCAGGGACACCAGTTTTCCTGTCTTCTTGAATGTTTGACCCTCCAGGGCACCAGTCTGAGAGACAAAAGAGGAATGAATAAAGCAGAAAGGTAAGACCGCTGAACTGGACTGTGAATGGACTCTATAAGCACTAGCCATATAAGATCTGTTTGTAAAGGCAAAAATGTGGGTCTTACTGCACTGAAGGCCCAGCATGATCCACACTGCCCCTGGTCTTTAACACCAGTCACGTAGCCCTTGTCCCTCCAGTCCACGGAACTGGGCAGCACAACAGCATCCTTCAGCCGGAAGAATGTAGCACCACCACGGGCCTTAGTGTTATTCATGGAGCCCAGGCATCCATGGAACGCCACCTGTCTGTATTCCTCATTGCTCTGAGAGAGGATAGAAGGAATATGATCAAGTTTAATGTAAAGCAAAATAAATTAATTCAATTAGATCATTAATTTTATATACATTAATTTACTAAGCTATATTTTAAAAATAATATAATCGAAAAAGCATTAAAAATACACTACACATTTATCATCAATTTTCTGAATGATTATGATGATAATTTTAATGTCCTGTTTTGTGTGTATGTGTGTGTTTTAATTTTTTACCATGTCAGCAAAGTATGTCATGCCAAGCCTGTAGGATTTGATGCCCTGATCTGCCATCATGTTGTGGACCAAAACCAGTTTGCGATTGGACAACCAGGTCTGCTTACGCTGAGACTCTTCCTCCACAGAACGGTAGATCTTACCTGATGTTTGACAGAAAATAAATATCTTAATAAATAAATTTTTAACACAGTGAATTTGATTATAGTTATTTGTAATGTTTAAAAAATTATTTCAAAAAAATGTCACTATAACGTTTCACATGTTTAAAAAAAACATGAGTGTCAAATAATTTAACAAACAATTTTGTATTTTTTTAAACATCAATTAAAATTTTTCAAGAATCTTCTGAATTTGTTTAATGACTTTTGTTCTGATTCAACAGGAGGCATATGTGACCCTGTACCACAAAACCAGTCAGAAGGGTCAAGTTTTTGAAATTGAGATTTATACATCATCTGAAAGCTGAATAAATAGTTTGTTAGGATAGGACAATATTTGGCTGAGATACAACTATTTGAAAATCTGGAATCTGAGGGTGCAAAAAAAAAAAATCACCTTTTGCTCATCAAGACTGCATTAATTTGATCAAAAATACAGAAAAAACTGTAATATTGTGAAATATTATTGCAATTTAAAATACCGGTTTTCTATTTTAATATACTTTAAAATATAATTTATTCCTGCGATCATTACTCCAGTCTTCATTGTCACATGATCCTTCAGAAATCATTCTAATATGCTCATTTATTATCAATGTTGGAAACTGTTTTTGCTGCTTAATAATTTTTTGGAACCTGTGATACTGTTCTCGGGATGTTTTTGATGAATAAAAAGTTTAAAAGAACAGCATTTATACAGTAGAATAAAAGCCTGAAGTGAGAGAGGACACAATGAATGAAGTGTGAGATTCATCGAAACGCTTCTGTCTTTGATTATTGTCTGAAAGGCTTCACTGTCTGTTTTGTCTAGTTTGTTCATTCAGTCAGTAAAGAGAACCTGATGACTCTCTTTCCCCAAGATTTTAAAGATATCGATAAAACTAAGAAGCAGACTCTCTTACCAAATTTCATTTTCCATGCGTGAAACTCCATGTCCTCCAGAGAAAGACTGGCAGCACTGGCAACAGCCAGAAAAGCAGCGGCAACAACCAAAAACCTCATCCTGCACCGAGAAAAAGACATAAGTGTGAGGTCGGACAAGAGGTGCACAAGATAAAACAGAAAGCCCCGTGAAGCCGTGGTTTACAGTGAATTTATAACAGCTAAGGGGGGTTACTCCGCTTCATGTCGTGCCAAACAACGCCCCTTAGCTGTTATAAATCCACCGTAAACCATGGTTTCACGGGGATTATTGCTTTATTTTCCCAATTCTTCTTTTGTCTTTTTAAATATCGCAATAATATCATATTGTAACGATATCAAAATCTCACATCCCTATGTTTAGGTGTAAGATATATTTAGGTGTTTTATGCCTTTATTAAGATAGGATAGTGTAGAGCTGACAGGAAGTGAAGTGGAAGAGAGAGATGGGACGGGATCAGGTGACCCTGGGCCACAAAACCAGTCATAAGGGTCAAATTCTTGAAATTGAGATTTATACATCACCTGAAAGCTGAATAAATAAGCTTTCCATTGATGTATGGTTTGTTATGATATGATAAAAAATCTGCAAAAAAAAAAAATCACCTTTAAAGTTGTCCAAATGAAGTTCTTAGTAATGCATATTACTAATCAAAAATAAAGTTCATGGAACATGCTTAATACTTAAATACTTAATATCCTAATGATTTTTGGCATAAAAGAAAAATCAATAATTTTGACCCATACAATGTATTGTTGTCTATTGCTACAAATATACCCGTGCTACTTATGACTGGTTTTGTGCTCCAGGGTCACATATACCCTGGAAAGTTACTCTGTGTCAAGTGCTGAGTTAGGTTAAGTCATTTCTCATATACACTGTTGTTAAAAAGTTTGGGATCAGTAAGATTTTTGGAAAGACTGGCAGCACTGGCAACAGCCAGAAAAGCAGCGGCAACAACCAAAAACCTCATCCTGCACCGAGAAAGAGAAGACATAAGTGTGAGGTCGGACAAGAGGTGCACAAGATAAAACAGAACTGAGGTATCTAGCGTCACTGTTTCATTTCTTCTGTCACACTCCCACACATTTATCCTCTAACAGTATTTTTTAAAAAAAATCTGGTTAAACCTGAGTACTTACTTGTGATGGTATGCAGGCTATACGTTTCCTTGATGTCAGTCACCCGACCTGTCTGTGTTTACCAGAATGAAGATCTGAGTTTATATAGGGGTTTTCATAAATGAACACACTCTATCTTTGAGGATGCACAATAGCCACTAATAATAGCAATCAATAAATAATGAATGTATGCAGTAATCCTTATGAAGTCATATCACAGGGTCTATTTTAAAACTGTTTATTTCCATAAAACTGCATCTGTTTCTTAAAAACAAACCAGGCTGGATAGACTTTCTTAAGACAAACAACCTCCCAGGACCTCAAGCTCTTCTAAACTGTAGTACTGTTATTGTATTTTTATGAATTCTATCAGTCACTGACAGATGGGAAGGAATAGAGGCCCATGTGACCTTCTGTCTCTTAAAAATAAAAATGTATGCATGTGACCCAAATCTAGCAGATGCATCTCACAACGGAGACTTGGTTTCATGATTTTGAAAAAAAGGCTTGTGATTTGAATTCCTGAACATTTAAAGAACTGTTCAGTTAAAACAAGCCAAACACTTGGTTATCTGCTTCTGTTCTTCAAAAACAAATGTATGAATTATGATTTTTATGGGAAAAAGTCTAATGTTTTGGATTCCTGATGATTTTAAAGAGCTGTCTAATTAAAACAAGCCAAACTGAGCATTGTTCTGATTGTGAATTATGAAGAGGAAATATAGGAAAAGACCAAACAACCACAAGGATGAGAGTTTGCCGATAAAATATACACCACATAAATGTTCATTTTTATTCCGTACTTCATACTAACATAGTGTTTTCCTAGTCAGGGGATTTGAAAATATGAACAACAGCTGAAGTTAGTTTGTTAAAATTTTTCACATTTTAATTAATCTAAAAATATGATTATGAGGTATTATTGTAGAATCAGTCAAATGGTCCACATTTCCTTTTCTCCCTTCCGCTCCAGGTCCATGTTCATCTTTCCTGCAGAACATAAGTAAATCATTTTTTTCTTAATTGCAAAGTAAACAATTAAATGTATTTATTACATTTAAACCTATGTTTTAAATGTTTATATAAGCCTTTTTTACAGGTAAATTAACTTGCCCCAATTATGTGAATTGAATAAAGCCATGAAATCATATTAGTAATGAACTCACCCATTAGACCAGAGGGTAACTGGCTGCAGTAGCGATGCCACATTGGTTGCTCTTGTTCCTGGACATCAGGATGTAGCCCTTGTCACCCCAGTCCAGACCCCAGCTAAAATCACAGCAGTTTTGAATGTTTAGATTTTGTTTTTCTCTTCGTTCAGCTGTGTACTATTATTGTTTCATCAACTTGTGCTTTTTTCTTAACCTGTTCTTGACGATCCAATAGTCCTCTCCACTTGAGCTTCCATAACCAACAGCCAGAACGCCATGATCTAAGTCAGAGCTGCTGCATTCAGGCTCACTGTAGATACCTAGAAACATTATTTATTAAATTAGACAACAAATTTAATTCAAACCTGAATAAATAATGGATAAAATGTCACATGTAAAACCTAACACCTAAAAACCAAGTGATAACATTTACCTGATTCATAGAGCTGAAAGCTGCTGTGTCCAGCATCGATGGCAACAGATACAGGGCCGATTGTGGCAACAGCCTCCTGTAGTGCACTTTCATCCCCACTGGCAACATCAACATATCCTGTGCAGGTGGCACCCACAGTGCTCGGGTTAAAACGACACTGATCATCCTGCATGGAGTAAATTGATGAGCAAAAATGATTAAAATCATTGGGAAAAAAAACAACAACGACAAGCTGAAGCATTACAGTCAGAATCAAACATTATTATGACTCACAATGGCCTCATATGGGTAGGACTCCTCTGTATCCAGACCCCCATTGGCTTCAATGTACTGGAAGGCCTGGTCCATTAGTCCTCCATTACAGCCCATATTCCCAAAAGAACCAGAGCAGTCCACCAGCTGCTGCTCACTCAGGGACACCAGTTTTCCTGTCTTCTTGAATGTCTGACCCTCCAGGGCACCAGTCTGAGAGACAAAAGAGGGATGAATAAATGCAGAAAGGTTAAGAATGCTGACCTGGTCTATATGGACTCTATACACATTTGCCATAAGATCTGTTTGTAAACGTAAAAATGTGGGTCTTACTGCACTGAAGGCCCAGCATGATCCACACTGCCCCTGGTCTTTAACACCAGTCACGTAGCCCTTGTCCCTCCAGTCCATGGAACTGGGCAGCACAACAGCATCCTTCAGCCGGAAGAATGTAGCACCACCACGGGCCTTAGTGTTATTCATGGAGCCCAGGCATCCATGGAACGCCACCTGTCTGTATTCCTCATTGCTCTGAGAGAGGATAGAAGGAATATGATCAAGTTTAATGTAAAGCAAAATAAATTAATTCAATTAGATCATTAATTTTATATATTCATTTATTTAACTATATTTTAAAATATATACTAAAAAAATAATATAATAAAAAATATTTAAAAAACACTACACATTCATCATCAATTTTCTCACTTATTATGATGATTATTATAATGACCTGTTTGCGTGTGTGTGTGAGAGAGAGAAAGAGAGAGAGAGAGAGAGA